GGAGTTCTTCGTGAGATGGGTCCCTAAAAAGGGACGGGGAAGGTGGGGTGGTGGGGGGAATGGAAGTGAAGGGAATGGTGAAGCCGACCTTTATGACTTCCAGAACCCATTTGTCTGATGTTATTTTGACCCATTGGTGATAATAGGGTCGTAAGCGATGGTGGAAATTGGGGTCTGTGTGCGCAACAACAATTGGTGGAGTTCGCATGCCCTCGATAAAGAAGTCAAACTTGCTGTTTTGAAGCGGACGTGCCGGACACTCTAGGTGGTGGTGGACGCCTTCGCTGAGGCCGCTGTCTAGGGCATGACTGGTCAAACGTGCGATTTTGTTGCCTACGAGACTGGTAATCATACCGTCTCTGATACGGAAAATAATGACGATGACGAAACGGTGGGACGTACATTCCCAGCATATGGAGTGTCGTTCTTGAATCTTTGCCAGTATGAAGTACCTCATCAGTCTTTTCTGCGAATAATTTTACCCTGTCAAACGGGAGGTCTTCGACCTTGGAGTGTAACTCCTTGGGTACCGCCGCTGTGGTGAGCCAGGACAAACATCTCATAGACACTGCTGTTGCTACCCCTCGAGCCGCCGTGTCTGCCACATCCATAGCTATCTGGAGATTTGCTTTTGAACACGCATAGTCTTCCTTGAGGATTGTCCGTAAGAGCTCTTCATCGGCCTCCGATGTTCTTTGGGCCAGGTCTGTAAGCTTCGCGATATTATTGAAACTATGGTTTGCCATCAGAGCTGCATAATTCGCGATGCGAAGAAGTAACGTGGCCGATGAGTATACTTTGCGGCCAAATATGTCCAACTTCTTGGCCTCCTTATCTGCCCCTACATTTTTCAGCTATGGGTTCTTAGCTCTTTGAAGAGCTGCATCGACGACCAAGGAGGGTGAGTGAAGAGAAATTCTGAATCTTTAGAGGAGACAAAATAACGTTTTTCCGCCGGTTTCTAAGTTGGAGCAGTCGAAGCCAGGGTATGCCAAATTTCTGCTGCTGACTGGAGGATTGCCTCATCAATAGGGAGAGCAACCTTAGATTGTTGCTTAGGATGTAAATTTCTCCAGAGTTTGAATTGTTTCATCGGGACATTCGATAGCTGAACGTCCTGAGACTGAGCCACCCTCCTAAAAAGATCCTGAAATTCTTTTGTGTCGTCAGGAGGAGAGGAATCCCCCGCAAACACAGCATCATCTAGGGAGGATGACGAAATATCTTCTGGAGATACAGATGCGGGTGATTGTCTGTATCCGAAATTTGTCCTTCCTCGGGCTCTGACAAGTGAGCTGGGGCCAAGGGGGTCTCCGGACGAGGTCTCGCCCTTTGACAGTCTTGGATTGGAGGTGATTGTCGTGATTCATAAGGAGTCTGGCAGCAGCATACATGAGAATGAGACTGAGATCTACCATATTCATAAGATGAACGGTGACTTCTGTAATCCAAGTGCTCAGGGGACGATCGCCGCGAGGAATATCTGATAACGTACCCGCTGTGATAAGATCTCGGAGGGGAGTAACTAGGTGAGCGAGATCTATATGATGATCCCCGATGATAATAGGGATACCGGTCGCAATGACCAGAATGACGAGACCTCGATCTCCATCGTGGAGAGGGCATTGCTTGACTGTGAGATGCCGAGTAATCTCTGATCCTCACTGAATGACACGGTGAAAACGAAGGTTCAGGTGATGGTGAAATCGAGTGCCTTGGCATTGACTTCCTAGCAGCCTTTGTAGGGACCTTAGAGGCAGGAGCAGCTTCCCTCTCTTCTATTGGTAAAGAACGGGGGGAGAAGGGGAGGGGATTGACCCTCCGTCATGTGCACAGTGCTATCATGCCACTGTGCTAGGATCCTACACGGCACCGCGGGCAGCTCCCTGTCCGCTGAGACTGCTGATCGAGCATGATTTCCCGGTGCCGACTCGGCACGGTGCGGGACGCTCTGCTGTCGGGCCCGTTCGTGCTGCTCCCCGGGCCAGTCTCTCATTGCCGACTCTGGTGCCGACTGCAGCACCGGCTTGTCCTGGTTTATCGGAGCCGCTTGTGGTGCCGCTAGAGTTTGCGGCTGCGCAGACGGTACCGACTCAAGCACCTCTGGCAGTGCCGATCGCTCCCGGTGAGCCGAACGCTTAGAGGGGTGCAGAGCCGGTGCCGATGACGAGCAGCTCGGAGGTGCGGGCATCACCAGCAGTGGCTGGTGTGTTGTTTTTGGTTGTCCCGCCATCCCGGACGTACCAGGCTTGTGTCCCTGACTGACCTGAGACAGTGAAGTGGGTGGAAGAGAGCGCGTAGGAGAAGCTCTCTTCCTTTTTGACACCATCACCGCGGGCGATTGCCCTGGTCATTAGAAGGCTGTAAAGCCTTATCGCACAACAGGAGTTTCAATTTCATGTCTCGCTCCCTGCGTGCTCTTGGTGTCAATTTCGCGCAATGGGCGCATTTCTGTGGCACGTGTGATTCTCCTAGGCATCTGATGCAAGCTTCATGCCCGTCAGACGCAGGCATCGCGTCCTTACATTGAGCACACCGTTTAAACCCGGGTGACCCGGGCATGATGTTCACTTAGTGTAACTATATACAAGTAATCTAATAAACTAAGAATAATAACTACAGAAAAAAAATTTTTGAAGAAAAACTCTTAAACTGCTAACTAACTAACTATATGTACTAGAGTTAAACTATCTATGATTTCTTTTTTTTTTTTTTTTTTTTCAGAATGGCTTTTCTGTGAGGAGATAAACGGCGCTCCGCCAGCAACCACAGGTGGTTGAGAAGAACTGACGGGGGGGCCGGACCACGAGACGTTGCAAAGGCGCGAACGCCGCGCGCTGCTCTCAGGCATGTGCGGTCCGGCCCGGCTACGGCTCTGGAAATCTCCGACTAGCGGCACCGGGTCGGGACCCGACACCTTGAGTGGAGCACCCACGGGGACCACTCGAAGAAGAATGATTAATTTTTGTGTCCTGGTTTTTACTTTAGGGGTGAGATTTCCCAAATGATCTCTCCCTTGATTCCCTTACCATTACTTGGGTGGTGGCAGCAGATTTTATCCCCAAAATCTAGGTTTTTAAGATTTTGGGGGAAAGTTTTATACCAAAGCCTGGAAAGATAAGGTTTTGGGGTACTTTTGCAGGCCCCCCACTTCTGCATTTATCTTGCCAGAGTGGGGACACTACTTGATTAGTAAATTAACCCAATTTTAACATCCCCAATCCTAACTAAATGTATAAAATGATAGGGACTAAATTAGCTGTTACCACTCAGCAAAGATCTTGGAGTTATTCTGAATAGTTCGCTGAAAACATCCACTTAATGTGCAGCAGCAGTTAAAAAAGCAACTAGAATGTTAAGAATGTGCCCTTGCTTCACGTGAGTGTCATGTTAGTAAATACTGGTACAAAATAACCCACCAGGCACACAGAGACCAGTGGAATCTGGCAACCTCGCTGGTAGACAACGGGGAACCAAATGTTATGCAGGCCACACAGAGAACTCCAGTGGGCCACGTGTCACAACAGGTTGCCCACTGCGGGCTAACTGGACACACCTCTGTGCCTTGCCTCAGGGGCCCAGAACCCATTGCCAGCTCCCGGCCTCACCCACAACTTCGGTCTGTGAGTTGCCCTCGGGGGCCTGGCACCTTTCAGTGGGCAGCCTGTACCTGAGGGCAATTCTTGGGAGCAGCACGGGGGGGGGGGGGGGGCGTTTGCCGATGGGAATGGCGGCGGAGGGGCAGTTAGCTAGGGCGTATGTCTACCACAGCCAGTGGCAGCCTTGGCTAGGGGGTGCCCGATGCCTGGCTCGTTGCTGACCGCGCGGAGCAGCCGCCCGGCGGAACTAACCCGGCCCAGAGCTCAGCCCGACCTTCCAGCTGCACCACGGCCTCGTGCGTCTCCTGCTCGGGCCACTCTCAGGCCAGGCAGCCGGGAAGCTGAGCCCGGGACTGGCGGTGTCGGGCCGGGGCTGCAGCAGCAGGCGAACTCTCCAACACTCCCCCCGCGTCCCGCCCGGGGCTGGGGGAAGCGACCAAACCGCCCCCTCACATGATCCCGCCGGCCCCTAATCCCCTCCCCGCCTCCCCGGCATCTCAGTGCGCGGCGCAGACCGGGCCATGAAGGGAGGCTGCGTGCAGGGCTGGCGCAAGCGGGCAAGAGGAGGCCGGGCAGCCTCCCTCCTGCTGCTCCTGGGAGCTCTGGCCGCCTTTCCTCTGCCTCGCCGGGGCGCTGCCGCCCTGCGGCTTCGCCGGGACACAGGTAGGCTGGTGGCGGCACGGCAGGCGGGGCTGGGCCGGCGCCGTTCACACCTCGGGAAAGGGGCTCAGCCGGGTGGACAAGCGCAGGGGGTGCAGGACCTGGCCCTGGCACGGACCGCTCGGCGTTCTAGAGCTTTGGAGCCGAGCCATGCGGGACGCGGACAGGGCGCACGGGAGTTCCGCGAGGGGGGAAGGAGCTGGGACCTTTCATGTCGCTCGAGAGCGATTGCTAAGGAACGCAGATGTGTTCAACTATTCCCGTACGGTCCTGAGTTGCCGCCCTTCCTTCGCTGGCTCTTTCCTCCCCTGCGGGTGGGAGGGAGCCGTTGGCTTCTTTGCCAGGACAGCTCCAGCCTTGCCGGTAGCACCCCCACCCGTGTTCTGCCTCAGTGAAATCTAACCGGAGGTCAGAGTTGTACTGGAAACCCTGGGGAAACTTTAAAATCGGTTGTTCTAGAAAGGGGGATGAGAGGATCAAAGTCTTAAGGAACGCCTTTCTTTAGCGCAGGCTGCACCGGTTTTGCGTTCGGGAGTAAAATTCTTGACACCATGCCTACCAAACAATTAATAAATCATTTAAAATAGGTGCCTGTGTTCCACTTGGAATTCCACTGAAGCCATCCTCAAAAGTTTTATAACTAGGGGAGAAGACTATGTTGGATAATACCCATAAGACCTTTGTATTCTCTTTTCTGAAAATGAAACACAATGC